GCACTCTGAACTGTCAACAAAGTTCAACGGGAAAATATAGATAATCCTCCACTAACCACTCACCGAGCACTCTTTTTAGAACTAGTGTCTCATAGGGCCACTCGTAAGGAGGCACCACAACTCTGTCATCATCCGGCAAGACGGTGTCACCAAATCCGGAATAATCGGATTCGTCTCGATTTGCGAACTCTGCCGGCCTCCCGTCTGGCAGTCGAGTTTTTTCATCGCTTTCTTCGACTCCCTAAGGCCATGAGCAGAAAAACAATATCGCGAAAAATCACCCAAGTGGCTGGTGATGTATCTTTCTGCCAGGGTGTGTCTGTTCTGTAGGATAGGGGAAGCCCTTCCCTCAGCTGATTGCAACTAAGCCTACAGGCAGCAAGCAGTGTCTAGTGCAGCGCAAACGCAGACAATGAGGACAACTGTCCTCAACGTGCCGCATTTAAACCTTACCACAGCCAGGCTCCTGGTGTCTCGCTGCCCTTCCTTCCAAAGAAGGTGAAGGCTTATGTCTGCTCCGCCAAGGAAATCAGACGTGGTATCGTCGGAGTCCCAAACTTCGAAGGACAAGGGACCCTTTGCAAACAAGTCCAACGGCAGCGTGAACTGCACCACAAGCGCATGAACTCTTTAATGCAGCATTATCAACGTGCGCCAAAACAAGCTCTGGCATGACACCATGTGATGCAAGCGATTAGGACACAGCGAAGCCTTCAAACTCAATAAGCAGCCCCTAAATGGATAATAGTAATATGTACTAAAGTAATATAATAAATAATACAGGTGTCCTGCAGCAACGGGCAAATTCAATGAGGTGTAAAATATGCAATCTTTACATATACATATTTGCACATTGACAGCGTTATGCAGATGCTGCAGATAATACGGAGCGCACTGTACCTTCCGAAAGAGGGGGCTTGTCCTTTCCCTAGGATCTAGCAACCTCACGGGGAAATAAAAACTCTGGTTGAATACCGGGCGAAGCGTGTTCTCTCGCCTAGCCCCCGCGTTGACCATCCCGTCCCATTTCACCTAAAGGTTTGCAATCAGGCAACGCCTAGATGCTTGTTTTTGATTTGTTTTTGACTTGTTTCGACCTAATTTGTGGGGTTGCGAGCAACATTATAGTTGGAGGGAGTATTCCCAGCAAGTCGTTGCATGGGGAAGAACGGGCTGCAAAGGCCAGTGGAGTGGAAGCTAAACAAATGGTGCTTCCTAAAATCCGTAGCTCACCTTCACCATTGGGTTAGAACTAAACGAATCTGCATTGGCGACGGGGAGGTTCTCGCACTTAAAAACTCTGTCGCAAACGAAGGTGCATACACAGGGAGAAATTTTGATGGATTAATGCAGATAGACAAACGGAGGCGGGCCGAGACAAAACCAGGCGGAGGTAATGAAAGATACAGAGGGAAGGAAGGAAGAGAGTAGAAAAGGAATATAGAGACACACGCCCACGCGCACACACATACGGAGAGAGCGAGAGAGAGAACGCCGCGCGAGCCGTGGTATATTAAGCCCTGCGGTGAAACGCTGAGCACCATAGCAAGGAACCGTGGAGACCAAAGCGCTCACCTCACGACAAGATACTGTTCCTTCAAGTTAAGTTGCGTCACGAGGGCAGTGCCTGCGACTGTCTGCATTGGCCGGAAGGGAACGTTCTCGTAACCCAAAACCCCAACGGACCGCACAAAGCATCGGATGTTGCCGATGATTTCTCCCTGTTGAAATTTGCTGGGGTTAGTTGTGAGTTTTTTGACGACTCCTCTGCACGTACATCCATTAACAAGACGTCATACCCCATATGCACGTGAGAAGTACACCAATACCTCGAAGCCTCACCACAGACAGGCGCGCTGTAGGGCTCGGCCAACAGCAACTGAGAACCATTTTATGTTTCAGAGAAATTCAGGTACATCAGGTCACCAGTAAGGGAGCATCACACGAGTCAGTATTTATAATCAGGTCTCATAAAAGCACTAGTAATCCACCTGTTCGATTTCGACTTACCTAAAAAGGGGGTACGTCGTAACAGACTTCAGTGACATGATGCACACCCCAAGCTGTAGTGGGGGTCGATACCACTGGCGTTCAAACTGACAGGCCACCTGTTGTCGCACAGATATATATTCTCACCAACTACGTGTTATGTTAATTGTGCCTCAAGCGAAAGTGTTGGTTTATCTGGAGATGTGGCAGAAACGCAAGCAATATTTTATCTAAAGCTCCTGCTCGGTCCTACAAACGAACAAGAACATTCCACCGTCGTCTCACCGTCACAACAATATATTGATTACTGAGTGATGGAAGTGTGCCGCGAAAGGAGAAGAATCCGGCGTAAGACCAGTAGTTGTTCTTGCTTGTATGCGTTCTGGCTACAGAACGCTGCATGGACCTGATGGAGAGAACACAAAAAAATAGAGCCCGCTCCATCCATGAGGCTTAACACAGAAAAAAACACACTGAAGGTAACTGCGTTAATAAAAGTGCTATACTGTAGCGTAAGCATACAACTCCGGCACAGTAATATGCCAGCAAAAGCACAGGAGAATGCAGGAAAAACACGGCTAATTCGTACCTTCCCTGAACGGGGACATTGAGGGAAAGTGCCTTTGCGTGATGCTGAAGCTTCGCAGGCATTTTCTTGTCCGGCAGAAACCACCAACTGTCAAACACCATGTCGATGTCAAAAACCTCATTTAGTTGAAGCGAAACCTGGACAAAAAAATCAAAAAGTGAAGCAGTCATCAACGAACAAGTTGAACGAACGAATTCAAAGCCCTGAACAGTCAAAACTTGTTCTCGATTTAAAATCAGATCCAACGACTAATTCCACAAGCCGTAGGCGTGTTCAGATCTCCTTACCCGCATCTTGTGCACCTCGTAACTGCGTTTGCTGCCTGGGAGTTTGCGTTTTAGGAGGAGCTGGAACTCCGGCTCCATATCGATGATTTCTTTGAGGGTCAGTCTGGCTGAGGCATACAGACTATTGAACGAGAAGTCGCTTATCTTCCACTGCTCCACAGTAATGCAGAAGTTATGCAGTTGGTTGTAAGGAAGCAAAAAGACCTTCAAAGGCCATACAACCAGAGGGGCTGCCAACGGGCGATACTCCCCAGGGCCCAATCTGTAGCCCGGGGTAAAGAGAAAGCGACGACGTAAAGAGCCACGAATTACTCGCTTCCTGAGAGCACGTAGCACTACAGAGGGAGCGTCTCCAGGTTTAGAGCCGTACATGCTTCTATATGTATACCTAGATAAAAAGATATATATGTATATGCAGATAAACATTCATGTGATTCACTGCGAAGTGGTGCGCAGATCCAGTTGAGCCTTTGCGCGACCCTGAAGCAGTCGAGCTAAGATTCAGACACACAGAGGCAAACACGTTCACGCGTACTTGTTAACATGCCCAAAGGTGATGGAGTAGAAAAAGTACTGCTCCTTCGTCTCGAGGTTCATGAAGGAGTTGATGAAAAACGATGACTCCCACATCCGCCTCCTGTCCATGGGGTCTAACGCCTTCGCACGACGGTCCCGCCTCAGCTGTACGGCAGTCGAAAGAAACAAAGGCGAAATATTTGCAATGAAACAGACGACAGCTGTGCTTGCAGGGTCAAGAGTTGTCACTTTCGATTTGCTGATGGGGTGTACTGAAGGTACTGCAGCACCTCACGCGGTCGATCTCTTCAAAGTCTTNCTTTCGATTTGCTGATGGGGTGTACTGAAGGTACTGCAGCACCTCACGCGGTCGATCTCTTCAAAGTCTTCATCATCGAACTCAAACGTGCCCGAGCTCTCGCTGCTGCTGCTGCTTGTGCTGCTGCTGCTCTCTGAGCTGCTGCTGCTTTCGCTGCTGCTGCTTTCGCTCGAGCTTCCGAATGTGGCTTGGTACTGTAGACACAACGCATTTGCATACGGGCCTTGTGTGTCAATCCAATTTCTCGTCGGCAGCTCAAGACATGCATGAAATTGTTTACAGGAGCTCTGGATGAAACTGGGCACGCCGGCAACAGCAGCAGGTCAGAAGCAGCTGCTTTTGAACCTTGTTTGCGTCTGCCTCTTAATACCACTACCCAGGAATATCCTTTTGTACCTTTTGCTTTCCGATTTTCCGTCCATAGGCGTCGAAGTCAAACAGTTGAACGCCTTTAGGCTCGTCGACACCCCCATCATCGTCCTCTTCAGGCTCGCTGATTTTATCCCCAAGGATGTCCTCATTCAGGTTTCGTTTTGCTGCAACTCGCAGCTGCGAGACATCCTCCTGATCTGGATCCATGGTGGCACGGCGAGCTTCTCCTCTAGACCCCAAGCATCCTTGCCGTGCATATCCGTCCGACTAGAGGNTCAAGAGGCGTGCGCTGGTAACATGAGCACGAGCACATGCAGTGTTGTACTTGGTTGTAGGCCGCAGGCAACAGAGCTGCGCCTGAGCTGCCAGTGATCGCGACTTTGTCTGAGGCTTAATCGTCTGCATGCAGAAAAATCTAATTTTAATTGGAGAATTAACTTGAAATGCCTGGAAGCTGCAGCTGCGGGGAGGGAACTTGAGGCTTCCGCGAGGCCCTGCTCTTCCGGGCGTGGTCCGCCACGTTATGAACGACCAGATGGGAGTTCATAATATTCTTTGAACCACTTGTTTTAAATTACGGCTTTAAAATAAACATTCAATATGCGTATAAACCCTCTTCTTTTGTTTCCATTACAGTGTTATGCTGCGCAAGGCTCGACTCGTTACCACCGCCGGCGGTTACAAGTTGTAGTGCACAGGCGCTAGAATGGAACGAATGAGTGGAACCTTCACAGACATAGTCAGCTGTAACAGAACGAAAACAATACTTATAGAGACAAGTTCGCTTATTTTAGATAGAAAGCTAGGGTAACAAAACCATGATGCCATNAAACAATACTTATAGAGACAAGTTCGCTTATTTTAGATAGAAAGCTAGGGTAACAAAACCATGATGCCATGCCAGCCTAGGGCTGGCCACGAGACTGACGCTGCCGTTGAGACTCTTTTTCAAGGCAGAGCCCAGACATTAGTTATTATTATTCTGGGGTTTCCTTTTTAAGATTAATGGTCTCGTATATGCTTTTAACACGATAATTTGAATATGTGAGTCCGTATAGTATAGATCGGCTGTGTTTAGTGCATATATGTAGAGTCTGAACCCAGTAGGTTTGTCAGGGTATGCAGTACCAGCCGGGCCAGCTGTTAACCAACCAATGCCATGGAGGTGTCCAGTCTAGGGCTAGTGAGGGAACAGAAACAAACACATAGTGAATAATATGTTTAAAGGAAGTACCTTTCGGGGGTTTATTAATTCGCTTGTGAGGCTAATCATCCTGGAGTAGAACACCCTCACACACACCCAACGCCAACCACCACCCCTCCAGGAGGAAAGAAGAATTGCTGTCTCCCTAGAGTAATATATAATAATATTATCGTTATGTAGACATTGGGTTGGGTGCCGGTGCCTTTTGTCGGCATTCGCAGGGATATTTGTCATTGCGTTTTTGCACTGGGGTCGGCTGCAGCAAGTCGCTCTGGCGTTGACACTGTCTCACCTCAGAGGACGAGGAGGTGCTGCCCCTTCAGCATTCTGCCTGATGACAGTTTAACTAATAACTGTTGCGCCAGATGAGGTGTTCACGCGACTCACAGGGAGCGCACAACTAGCAGACATGGAGTTATCGACTACTGGTTGACGCTTGCGGCATGTATGTGCATATATATATATATATATATATATA